TGAATTGAAAAGTTGTGGAAATAAGATTCTCGCTACATTAATCTTTAATAAAAAATGTTGTTCAAATTTAAATATTTCTCTACATGATATTGGAACTTTGATCGTTGGAAGCGCTCTGGACATATCATTTGAATCATGTAATTTATGCATTTATAACATAATAAACAATTTCTCTTAAGGATCAGATTCAATATGAAATGGACTCCTCTCTCAAATTTCATAGATTATGAGTCCTCTAAATTAGAATTAATATGAATCATATTTATATCAAACTCTTTTATAAATTTTACAAAGCAAAATCTAGCAATTTTGTTCAAAATTAAGCTCTAAATAATAATACCCAACTGACTTACAAAATTTTTAGCATGTACATCATAAGTTAAAACATTTTTTTTATTTGTTGAATGATTCTTACAATTATATGAACCAATACATTTTTCAGCATTAATAATGCATTGTATAATAGTATAAGATTATTAGACTTCTCTTCCTATTTCACTCTCTCTACGGTGTAAACTCATTAAAAGTTTTTTTTTTTTGTAGTTATGATGGGGAAATATTATATTTTCCACGAGGGATATTGGCCCTTTTATTTTTGTATAGATATTTCAACTGTAAAATTATATTTGAAAGGAGGATTTAAATGCATGATGTTTAATTTCTATAAATTTATGCTTCTAAAACCTGAGCTTCAATTTTTACATATGAATTTTATTTATGAGCCAAAAATTAATTCTATAAGAAATTGCTATATATATAAACATAAAATTAGTTTCCTTTTATTTTTTTATTTCTTAAGTATAAGAGGAAACAGATTTTATTATTTTGCTAAGAAATTATAAACAATATTTCCTAAAGTTAACAGCACGAGAGAGAATTGGCACAGTTGACGGCTCAGAAAGAATTAGTTTGTAAACTTCCCAATCTCACCATTCCACTTTTCTAACATTTTTCTCAATTCACCCACCTCCAAAACCTCCTGCGCACCTATGGCAGTCAACTGAAATTTCTATCCCCAACCACCCTTGAACAAACTCTTGAACATTAACCCAAAGCCCCCTGCCTCTAGCATTCCACTCACCCAAAACGTCAAGAAAGACCAAACATCACGCAAAGTGAAACTCATCTGCAATTTTGGAGGCAAGGTCATGCCTCGTGGTCGTGACGGAAATCTACATTATGTTGGCGGACGATCACGGGTTATTGCCATCCGTCGTGATACCAGTATTCATGAGTTTTATTGCAAGATGGAGGATGTCAATGGCGGCCTTGTTCGCATTTGCTACCAACTTCCGAATCAAAATTTGGATATTCTTGTCTCAGTTTACTCTGTTGAGGATTTTGAGAATATGATTGATGAAATAGACTCTCTCTCAAAAAAACATCCGGCAGTGAATCTACTAAGCTTCGAGTATTTCTCTTTCCCCCATACGGCGTGAAGGAAATTTCAGATAGATTCGATGGAGCAACTTCTAATGATTGTGATCCGAGTCATACTAACAAAACCAATCAAGCATTTGTGTTTGAGGCAAAAGAGAGAGGTAAAGAATTAATCAATGAATGTATGTCTCCTACTATACTCTTCACTGCTATTATTACTTTTTATTCTCTTATTATACTAATAACATATTTTTTGGGAAATGACAATATTTCAGCATTAGAGCATCAGAGTGTTCCATTCCATGCTAATGTTGTTGGAACAGGAAATTTGAGCAACCAGCATGACACAAAAAATATGGGTAATCAACAACAACACCATGATGTTAACATATCTTATTCATATTCACTTTTCAGCGATCAGGACCCTTGGAGAATGTTTGGATTTCAACTTTCTAATGTAAACTAAAATGATTTCAGGTAATAATTGATTGCAAATAATTGCTTTCTTTTTGCAAAACTAAAATGATGTTTTATTCCAAATCTAAAATAATGCGAAAAGAGATTGAGAAGTACTCATTGGGCAAGACAAAATTCCTTTTATCCCTCCTTACCTAAAGCATGAAAAGGTTTATTTCACTTTTTTATAGCTAACAATCTGTAAAAATCAAAATTTAAGTGTTAGATATGTAAATACATAAGAATTGGGTGATATGCATGTAAATGACCGTTGTTAATATTGTTAATTGCACTTAAGTCCCCCATTTTTCTTATTTGCTTTCTTGTTGGTGGTTATAAATTGTGTTTTAATTCCAGTTTTGAGAATTTCCATTTTCATTTTTTCTGCATGGAAATGGAAATGCAGCTATGAGGATTTTCTTAAGATCAGTGAAGATTTCTTATTTATTGGTGGCTTATTTTAATAGATTTTAAATTAGATTTATACTCCATATAAGTGCTGTTTGGTTAGATGAACTTGTATAATGAAAATATAATGCAGGGGTTTTTATAAATTTGATTTTAATTGGATTCAAATAATCTGCGGTGTTCAACTCTACTAGAATTCAACATGCAAATCAAAATTAGTGTATTTTAAATCGTTAAATCTAGCCTATATTCAAATATACAAAAGAACTGCAGTCCTTGTTGCCCTTATGGTTAAATATAGGCTATATCATAATAATTTTATATTCTAACGAGCCAATTTTGAGCCGAACATGAGCCAAACACAAACATGAATAAGTTTTTCTAGCCGAACACAAACACACTGTTCACAAACCATAACACGAGCCAAACACGAACCGAACCTGATAACAAGCATGAGAAACAATTGTTCTTGCCAACACAATTACATGTGAATGCCTACAACAAGCAAAAAAAATGTGAGAAATATTAAAGATAAATTTTAATAAGTGATAAATTTGAGCTCCTACAGTTTGAGAGATGTCAAAACAAACTTTTCTTTCTCTTTTATTTTCTATAAGAAAAACTCACCAATAATCTTGTGAAGAGCAGTTATTTATGAGTGCTACATGCTTTGATATATAAGGTTAATAAAGCTTTATAATTCACAAGAATGTATGATGGGCGTGAGCTGGTCATGATGTTAATGCTGTACATTAATATCAGATTCCTATTTAAAGTTATATTTCTTCATATGGGTGCTGCATACATTTATAATCGACATGCTGTTAAATTCATTGTCAATTAAGCAGCAATTACATCTCTTATCGAATGATTTTTTTTTTTGGTATAATTACAAACATAACACCTGAAACATTGTTATTTATAAAATCTAACATGCACGTGCTATTTTTGAAATGCCGAACTGATGTATTTACTCGTGCCACGATCAAACCATGAGAATTTGATAAAAGTGAAAAATATGGATTGGGGTTTTATCACGAATTTAGATATTTAATTGAGAATTTGAAAAATGGATGAAAGAGGGTGCTAGATTTGTATATAGCAATGTTTGGGGTGCTATGTATGTAAATGCCACAATTTTTTTTTACGTTACAAGAAAACAATTACATTTGAGTGTTACTTTAAAAATTTCTTTAATAAAAATCAAAGATAAACTAAAAGTGCTTTTTATTTGTCTTCAGCATAAACGACAAACAATAACTACGCTTAGTGTGCGAAACAACTAACCCTGTAAATAAGCAAAAGACTATTACACACACACACACACACACACACACACACACACACACACACACACACACACACACACACACACACACACACACACACACACACACACACACACACACACACACACACACACACACACACATGTATACATATATTGCATCCAGAGTCGGACATAAGACAATGGACGCGATACAACAGAGGTCGATTTTTTTTTTCTCGTTTGCTCCATCCGCTCTATCGCGTCCGTTGTCCGAACGTAATATTTTTTTCCCGTAGGCGCAACTCATTTGCTAACTCCACCACTCCACCTCAAGCTGCTCCTTCCACACGAGGTGCCACTCCTTTTATCTATTCGCTGGCAACTTTTACCTTTACCTACTCCTACCTGTTTTTCTTCCTGGCTGACAACATCTTCTTCTTTAGATCTAGAGGTATGCTTAGCCTAGAGCTAGTGTTTAATATTATTTGTTGTGACAACTTCTACAAACACGATTATTGGATGAGCGTTGAGCACAGGAAGGATTACAAGTGATTTTGATGATTTTCACCAGTGGATCACGATATAAATTATCGGTGATCTCTTGTTACACAAGATTGAGGTTAAAAAATCAGTCAATCGAATTATTTTGAGGGCACATTTGGTTGGCTAAACTTCAAACCCTTTTTGAATGATTTTGGACTTATGTTAGATTCATGATTTTGTTGATTGAGGTTTAGAAACTAACACTAATTTCATGTTACAAAAAAATAAAAATAATCCTGTATATTTCTTCTTTTCTTGCCTTGGAGCTTGTCTTTAAACTCTTTCTTATTTTTATTTTTATTTTTGTGAAATGGTCCATGTATTCACTAGGTTAACGATGTAATGGAATGTTGGAGCCATGCTTCTTGTTGTTGCATGATCATTCTTCCAAAACATGAAATATTTGGCTTGAAAGATGCTCATAATTTATATCAATTTATGAAATCAACATGTTTTACTTCGCTAATCTTATTCTTTAGGTTGATTTTACATAACAAACTAGGATCCTCAAATAGAGCATACATTTACAAGAATCATTGCATATATAGTATTTAAACAGGAAAATAGTCATCCCTATGAAAAAGGCTGTACTGCAATTTTATGGTTGCTTTTTCATCCATTCTGATCATTTCAGATCTTAACATCATTCAGCTGCAATTGTGATCTAACTTTTGATATTAATTTTTCTTACAGCTATTTCATATTTTATATGTATGTGATTCTTCAAAGATCACTAAATCAGTGTTTATAGCCGTTAATGTACAGTTGAATGAAAGTGGAAACAATTCAAATATTGTACAGGATGGATTATTCATTAAAAGAGGCTTAAATACTATTTCATTTCATAGAAAAAGCTTTTTTTTGTCTTTTTTTTTCCCCTCTAAACCAATCGCAACACAAAACAAACACCACATCTCTGAAAATCAAAAAATACATAAGAAAATCCGCCAAAAACCGAAACAAAAGCAATTACTCATACTGCAATAACATTTCATCAAAGCTATTGTGAGTTAAATTTAGTAGATTGCTCACTCACCAATGTTTTAAGATAAATCTGAAGCTGAGGAACAGAGTAGAGAGGCTGAAAGCAGCAAGCTTTCTCACTTCTGGAACTCAAGAACAGTATAAAAAGGATCAAAATAAAGCGCTCTGAAGTTGGGAAATCCAGCAGAGCAACCCAGCTGCTTGAATTCCTCCTCCGTGCGCTCCTTTCCCTGCGAGCGATAAATGGTCATCACAAAGATATCGCCTTCGAGCAGGGCTCGAGTTCTCCGGCTGCTGTCCGTCTCCTCCGGCAGCACTGGCTCGCAGGCAATCAACTTCCCCCCGGCCGGCAGAGCATTGTAGCAATTCTTCAGTATCAACCCGCACTCTTCATCCGTCCATGTCGTCAACACCCACTTCATGAATATGGCATCGCCGCTGGGGATGGACTTGAACATATCGCCGCCGACATGAATTATGCCGGGAAACTCCGGCGCCCCGGAGACAACCTCCGGCAAATCGAAATTGATTCCAGTCTTCACCGCAGGAAACCTTCGCATAATCATCTGAAGGCATGCCCCTGAACTTCCCCCAACATCCACGATCGTCCCAACACCTTCCAATCCCCCGGCCAAGCCGTACTCATCAAGAAACGCCTCCATGAAAGGTACCGAAACCCCCCACATCGCCCTCCGCATCAAATCATTCGCCGCATCGTCTCCTCCATAGTACGCATACGCCGACACGCCGCCGTTCGCTCGCGAGAACGGCTCCGGTCCGTCCGGATCGAGGATCGCCTCGTGCAGCCGCGGCCACGCACGCACCAGCGCGTCCTGGTGGTGCTGTAATACGTATGGCGCATACGATACGCCTCCGTTGGCCTCATCGTCATCGGCGACCAGCGTCCGGCCGATCTCGGTGAGATTGTATCGGCGATGGCCGCCGTCGAGGTGTTCGGAGAAGACGTTGTGGCTTGAGAGGAGGCGGAGGAGGCGCTGGAGGTTGGAAGGGGAGGCAGAGGAGGGAGGAGGAGGGTTGAGACGGGCGAGGATTTCGGCGGCGGTGAGAGGGGAGTTGGATCCGGATTGCCAGATGGCTTCGGGGACGTTGAGGCGGACGATGGCGTTGAGGGCCATGGGAACGGAGAGCATGTTGGAGATCTCCATCATCGCGAGTCTTGCTGATTTCTTGATTTCTCCACCGGTCGCCGCCATGGCCGATTCGGAGTTCTGGGGAAGACAAGGGCATTAAGAGGAAAGGAGGGTGCTTTCTTTGTAAAGTTTCCTTCCATGATTCCATCTAATGATGATAAGAAAATGACATCTGCTAGTTTGTCTTTCTTCCCCTACCTGACCATAATAGCTCCACAGCCGGTGTTTGGTAGTATAATTTTAATCGAATTTTATCATGAATTTAATCTAAAAACAGTTAAACATAAAATAAATAATAAGTAAATTGATTTGTTTTATGTTTCATCTTTTTTTCTTGCATTTCATCCCTTTTTACTGCTGTAAATTTAGAATTAGATTTAAAATTTTGTTGAGTTCCTCTCCCTTGCACAAAATATCAAATATTTAATGAATTTGATGAATCATTGATGCGTGTCAGAAAATTCGCGGCGGTAGAATAACGGATTATCATCTTAATGTTGTGTACGAGAATTCTGCATACACTCAGATGAAAAAGTTTTTACGTGGAAAACCCGTAAAGGGAAAAACCACGGAGTCTGACCTAACTGTGAAAATTCACTATGATTGCTGATTACTGAAATTCCTTATCCCACAGATGGAAAATGGTAACTATATTTTTCAGATTACAATTGACTGACAGTGTCCAGTTGGTGGTGATCGACGAAGGTTGGCGGAGGTCGACGACGATCGACGATGGTCTTCAGCGGTAGGCGATGGTCAACTGCGATCGGCGGTGGTTGACGACGGAGGTCGGCGGTGTTCGATGACGATCGACGGTGATGCTGAACTGCAACTTCTCCTCAAGTTCTCAGACTCTCTCTCCAGACTTCAGCCCCCCTTCATGAGAGGGATGAATCTCTATTTATAGTATTTTGGGTGCAATTAATGCAGAAATATGAATCATTTTTTATCGGACGATCCAGAGACAGAGAGCTTCACTTGCGACGTTTACTAGACATTTAAGTGTCTTAATGATGTCAGAATTGATAGATCTTGGGCTCGTTGGATTCATCTTGTCGAGCCGCTCGATTCGAGTATAAACTTGTCATATTTGACAATCCTTTGATCTCCCAAATGTGTCTTGAAATAATCTAAGTGTGGTTCAATGACTTGATTTGGCCTTGATTTGACTTGGATTGAGCTAGTTTTTATATCATTAGCTCCGTCTCATTAAGTCGGTCAGTTTGACTATAAGTTTGCTGACATCGGAGCTCTGGATGACTTTTTATCAAAATTTAAATGTTTCCTGCTTAAAATATTATCTTGAGATTTGTGTCATGCCTCGAGATTCATGTCGAATGATGACAATTTGTTGGTGTCGTATCAGTTGCCCTTATTTTCGGGCGAGATCATTTTTATCGTCCGAAAATATCAATATCATAAGTAAAAAGCTGAACACAGCTTAGTTGGTTAGCATTTTTTGCTCTCGCCTAAAACAAAATAAATAATATTTTTATAAAAGAATTTGAATTCCGAAAAGAAGATTAATAGAGTTTGACCCTCTTATTATTATTTTTTTGGAATTTGAAAAAATTTTATTTTTATTATTTATGAGAATTTAATGTTTGCATTTTTTTTTTAGATTTTCATATTAATGTGCATTTATTTGTCAAGACTCTTTTTGAGCCTATAAATAGGGACCTGAAGGTAAGGATAGAAAGGATAGAGGTGTGGAGGTGCGTCACGGCGATGAATTGTGGCGACGCGATGCGACGGGGTATTGCAGCGATGCAACGCGGCGGGGCAATGCGTTGCGGTCGTGTGTCGCAGCGAAGCGTTACATCGTGACAAAGCGTTGCGACAGTGGGTCGCGATAGCGCGAATACGCATTGCGGTGGTGCGTCGCGGCAGCGCGTTGCAGCGCATCGACGTGTTGTGGTGGTGCGTCGCGGCGGCGTGCTGACGAAGTATTCTAGTGGCGCGATGCGTTAGATGTCCAATGTCATGAAAGAAGGTAGGGGTGGAGTCCTCAACTGATTCAGGATTTCTCAGAAGAAAATCATTTTGTGTAGCGGTGAAGAGTTGCAGTGCACAGTTGCGGCAAAGAGCTGTGGTGCCAAGTTGCGGTGCCGAGTTACGGTGCAGAGCTGTGGTATCGAGCTATGGAGCAGAGTTGTGGTACCGAGCTATGGTGCAGAGTTGCGGTACCGAGTTGCGGCGCAAAGTTGCAGTGCAGAGTTGCAACACAGAGTTAGGCAAAGAGTTTCAGCGCAGAGGTGCGGTGAAGAGTGAAAGTCGTCCTCAACCTGCGTAGCAGACGAGCAACGGGATCTTCTTTCTCATTGATGTCGTGCATTGCGCAGGAGATTCCAGTGTCGCTCTTGCACATTACAGAGGTGATAAAGAAATGCTGTAGTTTTTCTGTCGCACTTTGAGGGGAAGATTTTCATGCTTGTGATTGTGATATCTGGAGACCTCTTGACGATCATCAGAAGTATTGGAGTTTTGGGGAGGCAATGCCGACTCTACTTGGAGATGAGCGAATTTATTGTAGCTCTTGTACAAGTATATGTTGGTTATTGTAGTCTTTTGATGTGACATTTGTAGATGATAATAATGTATTTCTTTGTATGTCTTTGACATTGCTTATGAGGTTATTGTAACTTTTCAATCGTATGGAATTATGCAATTAAAGTTAGCACACTCATTTTATAAAATGAAAAATCACGTACCTTTTATGGTTCTTGCCTTTCAACGTTGTGCTCTCTCGAACATATGTCTTATAGGAGCTTGAACTGGTATCTACTGAGGCTCATAGCCTTCTGAGGTCTTTCGTGTATCTGTGCCTTTTGAGGCTTGACTTCTTGGAGCATTGTAGTTTTCCATCGAGTCTTGTCTCCTAGGATCAACTTCCAGGGGTATGGTTGAAAGAAAAAATCTATTAAAGATGTAAGACCAGTTCTGAGTTCTATAACCGGAGATGCTCGACTATATTAACTCGTAATGAACAAAGTCATATGAAATCCACTGTGGATGGTTGACCCATCCTAGGTTGTTGGTCGAAGCTTTTGTTTGACGACCGTAACCAGTTACGGAAGAGGTTGAAGGAAATCCACCAAGGATTTTTGACCTATCCGAGGTTGTTAGTTGAAGCCTTTGCTTGACTACTGCAGCTTGTAATGGAAGAAGTCGAGTCGAGTGCCCCTGTGATCGATTAATCCTAGAATGAGGTGTCAGATATGCTTTGCGTTTCTCGAGACTAGGGTGTAGGTTGCAATAGACCGTATGTTTTCTTGGAAATATGGTTGTTGTCATACTCAAGAAAATATTTGACCACTTGTTAGTTGCTGCTTTTGAATCTTTTGCTCTCCTAGCGGGGGTATTTTCCATACAAGCTTGTAAAATAACACAAGTATTGGGCCTTGAAGAGATCAGCTTCCAGGTCTAGCTGAAGAGAAACTCCAGTACGATGAGGGGGACACTGAGGAAGTGTTTTTTGCAGTGAAGATTAACCCCCAGTCCAGGATAGATTCTCAAATACTTGTAATCTGAATAAAATATGGGATGACTTCCCTACCACAGTTGTGCCCGGGATGTTGACATAAACGAACTTTCGAGACTGCAGTAAATGTTTCCCCCCAGCCTGGAGAAGTTATGAAATATTGTCTGAATAGGATGCAAGAAGACAACTTCACTACAATCGTGCTCGGGACGTTGATGTGAACGATCTTTCGAGACTGCAGTGAATGCTGCCCCTCAGCCTGGAAGAATGCTTCTGAGAAGATCTTAAAGACGTAAAGGAGGTTCCTTAGTCAGTTGGAAAATATACATCATTGGGAAACAAAGCAGGGGATCAACTTCTTAGAATTGAAGACAATGTCGAACAGGACTTCATTTCCCACAGACGGCGTCAAACGGGTGCGTGTCAGACAATTCGCGGCGGTAGAGTAATAGATTATCGTCTTAGTGTTGTACGAGAATTCTGTACACACTCAGATGAAAAAGAAAAAAACAGTAACTACTCCAGAAATTTTTACGTGGAAAGCCCGTAAAGGAAAAAATCATGGAGTCTGGCCCAGTTGCGAAAATTCACTATTGATTGCTGATTACAGAAATCTCTTATCCTATAGACGAGAAATGACAACTATATTTTTCAGATTACAACGTTGACTAACAACGTTTGGTTGGTGGTGATTGATGACGGTTGGCGGAGGTCGACGACGATCGAAGATGGTCTTTAGTGGTCGACGATGGTCGGCCACGATCGGCGATGGTCGACGACAGAGGTCGGCGGTGGTCGACAATGGAGGTCGGCAGTGTTTGATGACGATCGGCGATGATGTTGAACTGTAGCTTCTCCTCAATGTCTCAGATTCTCTCTTCAGATTTCAGCCCCCCTCATGAGAGGGATGGAGCTCTATTTATAGTGTTCTGGGTGCAATTAATGCAGGAATATGAAACATTTTGATCGGACAATCTAGAGAGCTTCCCTCGATCATCCGGCGTTTACCGGACATTTGAGTGTCTTAATGATGTCAGAATTGAGTCATCTTGGGCTAGTTGGATTCGTCTTGTCAAGCCGCTTGATTCGAGTAAAAACTTATCATATTTGATAACCCTTTGATCTTCCAAATGTGTCCGAAAATCATCTAAGTGTGGTTCAATAACTTGATCTGGCTTGATTTGACTCAGATTGAGCTAGTTTTTATATCATTAGGTCCGTCTCATCAAGACGGGCGAACGGTCGATTTGACTATAAGTTTGCTGAAATCGAAACTCTGGACTGGATGACTTTTTATCAAGATTTGAATATTTCCTGCTTAAAATATCGTCTTGAGATTTGTGTCACACCTCGAGATTTGTGCCTGATGATAAAAAATTGTTGGTGGCGTATCAATCATATTTAACATAAATTCAGGTTGCAGTTAAACAAAGCCTTAATAAAGAATTTCTAGTGGCTATCTCATTCCATCTAGTCTTTTAATGCTGCATGAATTCATTTTTTTGGTGATTGTTATTGTTTGTTCTTCCACAACTTCATGAAGAGGCAAATTATTAATTATTCATTTTATGAAACCCATCATCCTGCATTTAGCCTTTGCTCTTCCAGTCATATAAAGAATCTTTAAAAAGAATAATAATAATAAAATTTTATTAAATGGAGAGAGAGAG